TTCGGGCCACTGTGGATGCTCTCTTGTTTCGCGCCTCGCGATGAATCACGGGGCACGAGCTGTGGTTGGCAGGATGCGGGCCCTTGCAATTGACGCACGTTGCGGGTTGCGTTCGCGGGCGGGGGCAGTCGGCGGCGGCGTGCGGGTCTCCGCAGCGCACGCAGGCAAGCGTACGGTGGCACCCCTTGCTCGAGTGTCGTGGGCCCTGGCAGCGATGGCACTGCGCAGGGCCCTTCTTACCCCTCCAGGCTTCTATGGTGATCCCGGGCATACTCAGGAGCTCACTCAGCGCGTATATGCCCGGGATAAGGTCAGGTGTGCGCTTGAGTGCTGCGTAGAAGATACATCTGGGGCGGCCTGCTCGCGCCCGGATATGCTTCACGTGCTCAGCTTCGTAGCCCTTGGTGGATAGGGCCTCGATGATGTTGTGCGGCTCGGTGTTGAAAGGCAGCCCACGTATGGCTACCTTTAGGCTGCGTTCCTGGGGGAGGGCGTATGAGTACCAACTCACCCCGCTCTGTCCTCCAGCTTGGAGAGGTAGGCTTGGATGATGCGGTACTCATCGCCGTCAGCTGGGGTGAATCTGATGCCCGTTCCAAACGGGCGCGCTATGGGTGCGCGGCCAAGAGCGTCGCGCAGGTGGCTCATGTGGGTGGGCCAGTCCGGTAGATTCTCGACCACTAGCGGCGGGTATTTAGGTATTTAGGTACAAATGCATATTTGACTCCAGGCGATGCTATCTCGATCGACTTGGCTAAAACGCTGGTGAGCTCCTCGTCCGAGATCGGAGTGAGGCCTTGCGAGGTTGACGACGTCGGGGTTGGCTGGTTAGCCATGCTGCGTACCGGGGGCTACGCCTGCGCAATCCTGGCCGAGCAGCGCCCTAAGGCGCGCTCAGGCCTGCGGCTGGGTGCGCGGCAGTCTCCGCTGGCACGGGATGGCGCCAGGCAGTCTCTAGAGGCAGAAAAACTTACAAGTTTTTTGTCGGAGAACTGGGAGGTAGGTAGGATTCGTGCGTAGTGGCGTAGTACGGTCCTTTGGCAGCGGCATGACGAGTATCGTGTTTAGATACTCGTCATGCCCACTTCCCTCCTTACTCGCACTGCATGTAAACGAGGTATTATCGTTAGTAATATTATTTATTGTTGAAAAATTAATAAAACTTTCGTTTCATTATAGTTTTTGTTAAATAATCAAAGTTTTTTTAAATTGTGTTAAAAAATTAAATATAGATATGGATGAAGGTACAAACATTGACTTTTTTTTCAACACTGAACTTAGCGCACTCTGCTGGTGCATTTGAAAACTAATTCTCGTTCCAATTAAGCATCAGCATAATTCGGCATTGTGCGCCACTGAGTCGCATTATGCTCTGTAATTGGAAAACCAGCACTGTTGCTATAGTAACGTTGACAAAAACTATATGGCATGGCATCGGCATCCAGTCGCATTGGATGCAAAGAGTAGTATAATATACCGGAAATCGGATTTATATCGGATGATCGGATGCGCGCATCCAAACCTGGAAACCTACTGTATTTCAACGAAAAACGAAAGGACAATGTTAAAATTGGCCTAAGAACCAACACCAATTTGGCATTTATGATAATTCTTAGTTTATTTTTTGCGATAATTATCAGTATTTAGATTGTGACGGACACTTCCAGTTATGTAAGCTAAATTAAAAAGTTAATAAATAATCTGGGACAATAAATACCATTTTATGTGTATTATCTATGACAGCGCTGCAAACAAAAAACACTTACTTCCTATTGCCGGCACTTCACCTGGCTATTCGTATTTGCTATTTAAAAACATGACATCAGTCTGTCCTTTTCATTCCTTATTAAGCATGACAAGGACAAAATCCGGCATAAACTTGATTTTGTGGTTGTGGTGCAGCAGTTTGCATTCGTAGTAATCTGTGACATTCGTGCATTCTCGTCAAAGAGTACTTTTTATTTAAGGAAAATTCTCGTTCGGATTATCTGTTGTGTGTGTTTATTTGCGATTGTTTTTCTTTAATTTAATTATTACTATTTCGGATATCTGATATGCCATCGATGTTACAAAAGAGGAGAGACCTTATTACCAAGTGCTGGTGAACCTGTGCCACAACATCCTGAGAGGATCATACTGCCAAATTATTGAAGAGCACCTGATACACATTCACGCTGCATATTTACACAATATACATGTGTTATACAAATAAATACAATATGATACAATTATGTGAAAAATAGTTAATCAATAATTGTTTTTATTTTATTCATGATTCCTACCTAACCAAGTTTTTCCTAATAGTTATTCTTTAAAATCGCACCGAATAAAATGAATTTAGTTGTAATATTAATTCACTTCATACTGAGTTCATACTAAGTTCATAGGTTGACCTATGTTTCATTGAATATTAAAATAACCTCAAAAAAATTTTAGTTTTCCTAATAATTTAAGTTCTCAGAAGTGTCCGTCAATAATCTTTGTTTTTACAGTCATTCACTTGCGATTTCGAATCTAGAAAATAATATTACTTGATTGTTGGTTCTTAGGCTAACTATGTATGGACGCAGAACAATGTCCTTTCGCACATTCCTTAATCTGTTTCTTTTTAATTTCGAAAATTCGTTCGTCCGATAATAGTTTGACACATCTCTTATCTATTAGACAAGTCCGTCCGTCCGTGCGTCTGTCTGTGGTGCTGTTTCAGCGGCCAACCCGTACGAGATAGATAAAGAGAATGTTTAAGGGTACGGCCAGAGTGCACTCAGATTCAGATTCAGACTCAGAAAACAAGCGCGAGAAATATACAGTGTAGTTTAAGCAGGTTGCCTGCGGCCACTATGGCCACCCTGCTTTAACTACACTGTTTATTTCTCGTGCTTGTTTTCGGAATCTGAATCTGAATCTGAGTGCACTCAGGCCGTACCCTAAGTTATAAGTTAAGAATAGTCTGATAAGACTACAAACCGGATTTGAGTAACGTAGCACTTCCAGTTTTCGAGAAATCACGAATTTCAAACGAAACCACACAAAATCTCCGAAGTTCTCAATTAATTAAATACATTTTTTTTTTGGTGAACATTTGGTTCACTGGTTTGCTAGTAGATGAATAATTGGTCTGGCTTCACAGCAGCGAGACCAATCATCTCCAAGCCCACTCTAATTTCGAAACTTTTGAATTTGACAGATAATTAATTGTTCGAAATTTTAACCTCAATTAGACGAAATGAAAAGTGTTACCTTTTCATTTTCGTTTTGAGATTTTTATTTAAATTAAGCCTTAGATGACTGCTACAGTATTTATTTATTTTATTTGTGATTCCGACCATTATTTGAGTGTTCGAAAATGAAATAGAGCAGTCACTTGCGAAATTTCGTTTAAAATTCGTTCGTTGCCGAATTTTTTTTTTTTTTGAGTATGTATGTTGTTGGTCGCAGATGACCTATACAGCGTCACCGGGTTTGACGGAGAAAGAGTACCCCACCCCGTAATTCTTAGTTGAATGAGTTGAAGCATGGTATGCCAATATACAAGATGTGATACCTAAGAAGCCATGGCACCAAAAATTGAAAAATCCATCTAGAAAATATATTACAACTATGAACCGCTTACGAATTGGTCATGGAAGATTCCGGGAGCATTTAAACAGAATTAAACTAGAAGACCAAAATGAGTGTTAGTATTGTAAGTCCAAGAGCGTGGAAACTTTACAGCATCTTATTTTAGAATGTCCTGCATTCTTTATACAGAGAATCTTATTGATAGATGACTTAATAGAGATATACAATAACTGCAGAATGCCCAGCCAATTGTCATCTATCATACAAAACACTAATACCTATCCTATATTATTTGAATATGTTATGAATATACAACTAAGAATAGGATCGACTGGGCGCCATATTGTGATGTCATAGCTGTCAATTCAAACTAAATAGGTAGAGTGAGCAATAAAAACTTTTTATTTAATAAAACTTATTTACTTAGATTAAGTAAGAAAAAGCATCTGATTTTTTTAATAACATTTAATTTACTAAGATTGAGAAAAAAAAACACCGATTTTTAATAATATTTATTTATTAAGACTGTGAGAAAAAACATTAATCAGAATCTAGATCTTCTATTCCGCTCATCTCTGCATTACCGCTGGAGTAGTTAAGAATAATCATGCACAATTACTAGGTCACATACGAACATGCAGCTTTTATGTAAACGAAAGTTTTAAATAGCGATTCTGAACGCAACTTAAAGTGACATTTGATTGACGATTTCGGTTATCAACAATTCATGGCCAAAGCTCAATAGGTGAAAAAAAAACAACCGATATTAATTATCAATATTTGTTATTGTTTGTTTACAAATGTTTGGATTCTATTCTTTAATGAGGGCTACCGTTTTCTGCCTCACCAGATGGCGCCACTGTTGAGTGAGGTCCTAAATTGTAACTTTTAAAGTTTATTACTACGCACATGAAATCAAAGGTTACATTTAGATCGTATTTTAACACAAAAGTACCATATCCTAAACATAATAGGCCATGCCATAGTGGCGCCCAGTTTTGTTTTATTCGGAAAAAATGGGAACATAATCATTTTTCTAAGCTCAAATTTTTAATAACTGACATTCATTGCCACATAACTCATATTTGCCATAATTAAGCCGAATTGTTACCAATTATTCACAACATTATTTTAATTAGAAATAAACACGCGTAGTCAACCAAGAAGCAATAACATTTGACATTTCGGAGACCTCACGCTACACTAGCGCCTCTAGCGGCGGATTCATACGCGATAGCCCTCATTAGCGGAGTGCTAAAAACGGTTCCAAGTTTTTTTTATGCAAACCGTACTTTTCAAGCGACATTTGATAGATAGAGGTCATTGGCTTTCCTATTCTTATTCGAATCGCATTATACCTTCGAAGACATTTAATGATTTAAAATTATGAATTTAACTAATGAACGGCCGAAATGGAGAAATTCACAGCCCTAAAAATTAAAAAAAAAAAAATATTTTGAATCGTAATTCGTAAACACTGGAAAATAAATGTTTTGTGGTCCTGCCTGTGACTATTGCAGATATTTACTAGTTTATTGAAGAAAAATGTGTGGTCGAAGTGCTTTGTAAGTATTTGTCAATTAATTTCAGTTTTCTCTTTATGATCAAGCAGACCTCAAGTACCTAATTGAATAGGTTTTGTTGAGTAGAATGAGTTTATGGTCCGTTCTTCTCAGTACAATATCTCCCGCCGAAGTTTTGCGCACCGATGGCATAGCATCTCGACCATAACAAGTGCTTGTAACAGTCTAGACTGAATAAATAAATTTTGACTGAATTTTTAGAATTCATATATCTTTGTATGCACTATCATCTGCAAAATATGTACATAGTACGTAACCAGCTATAAATTTTATTCTATTCTGAATAGTATGTCGAAAATCTCAATGCCTTATAGGTGATATTCTAAGATTATATCTGCATCACCTAAAACACGGTAATATTATCTATACAGTATTCTATCTTCATACAAACGGTCGGAAAGCGTGTCATACTCATACCTACGCTACTCGAGTTCGCTCGGCATCCGGGCCCGGTGGGCATCATCCAGTCGCGAATGCGCCCCAGCATCGTCCGAATGGTGTGAATTGTTTTTTTAGCAGTTAGCAGTGCTTGAACGTTTGTAATTGTGAATATTTGATTGAATTAAGTAGATACCTACATAATTTAATATGGCAAAGAGCAAAGTTGATATTGTGCTGTTTTTGGTTGCTTGAACTCTTCAATAATAAAACTCTTTATACGAATGCGTATATATATTTATTATAAATTGAATAATAAAGCTTTTCGTACGTCTCAGTCGAGGCGAAAATATTTTTCTGTCTTAAATCTATATTTTTTTATTATTAAATATTACACTTAAATAACATGTATTTATGTAACACTTCCTAATTCATGCACATTTTTTTTACATATGAAATAAAATATTTACAATCACAAATATAGAAACTGAATTATGTAGATGAAATGAAAATACTACCAAAGGCAGTTATTTCAAGGACAGGGCCGAGTCACAATACTGCATAGATAATATTACCGTGCCTAAAATCACGATGTCATCCCATCAAATACCTACCAATAATTAATAACTTTAAAAATACCTACATTATTTCCAGATCCCTGAATAAAACTGAACTTCAGGGTGCCTGTAGTTTTAAACGTAAAGAATCAAATATTTATGTTAAACCAGATTGGTTAGTGGAACATAATGATGGGAAAGATTATACTCCTTCTTACAACATTGCACCCACTGATGTAACTCCAGTCTTATTGTCTAGTAGTAAATATAAAAATGCAACAAAATCAGACAGGTTACTAAAACCTATGATGTGGGGAATGATTCCTCCTTGGCACAAGGTAATAAAATAGAATATATGGTTTGTAATCCAACTATGTATTAATATTTTTTTCTATAGATAAAAATATGAAACTTATTTAACATTAAGTAATTGTTTTAGGGTAATTATAAAAATCATAATTTAAGTACTAACAATTGTCGCATAGAAAATATTACAAATTCAAAACTTTATACACCTATTTTAAATAATGGTGGCAGATGTGTCATTGTTGTTGAAGGATATTATGAGTGGCAAACAACAAATAAAGCATCAAAAGTGAAACAACCCTACTATTTATATGCTCAACAAAAACCTGAGGTGAAGGTAACTATAACAGTTTTTTTTTAACGAATAAACATGAATCGGAGTTGCTCATTTCATCAATGATACAGGCACACGCAGGAGCTTGCTGGCGCAAGTGGTTAGCGCTTTCGGCCTATGTTAGTAGAAGTTAACCAAGTTTCGTAATGGTCAGTCATTGGATAGATGACCAAAAACTTATTATCTTGAGTTCCTCCATGCTTTGGGAGGCACGTTAAGTCTTGGTCCTAGCAGCAGCTGCAGTCTTTGGCACCCACCAATCCGCACTTATCCACTATGGTGGGTTGGGGTCTAATAATCTACCTTATTAGTTGATAATACCAATATTCCATTACATCCGAACCAACACGCCTATAGTCCAGGCAAGTCGACAGAATCTGCACTACATGCAGTCGTAAGTAAAATAGAGGATTGTCTTAGACGGAAAGATCTATGTTTGGGCACCTTTATAGACATAGAAGGGGCGTTTGACAAAACAAGTTTCGCCAGTATTGTAGACGCACTCGGCAAACACGGAGTAGACGAGACCATCATATACTGGGTAAGCAACATGCTCCGTAACAGACTAATCAGACTACAGAACGACAACCATCTCAGATCATTGGCGACTAAAGGATGTCCTCAAGGAGGAGTACTATCGCCTCTTCTGTGGAATGTAGTCGTAAACGACTTAATCACCAAACTAAACAACCTTCACTTCCACACGGTGGGCTACGCGGACGACCTGGCAATCATGGTCCCGGGTAAGTCTGCGAGCACCGCCTGTGATGTTACAAGGGGAGCATTGAAGGTGGTTGAAAAATGGTGTGACGACTATGGCCTCAAGGTGAATCCGGTGAAGACAGAACTGGTAATGTTCACGAACAAAAGATCCTTAGGTGACTATCGGCTACCGAAACTCTTAAACACGACACTCACTCTCTCCAATGAGGTAAAGTATCTAGGAGTAACCCTAGACTCTAAACTGAACTGGGGATCACACATAGACAAAACTACTACGAAGACCAACATCATTTTCTGGCAGTGTCGGAAAATGATTAGCAAAACTTGGCACCGTTCATTGTCAGGTGGCTGTACACGACAATAATTAGGCCCATCATCAGCTATGCAGCAGTAGTATGGTGGACCAAGACAATCCAGGTAACGACAACAAATAAGTTAAGACGTCTCCAGAGGCGAGCCTGCTGTGCAATCACCGGCTGCATGAAAACCTCTCCCACATCAGCACTGGAGACTATACTTAATGTGAGACCACTCCATTTATTTATACAACAGGAGGCTGCTTGTACAGCCACTCGCCTAAGCATGCTGGGGCTATGGAGGAACAACAACTCTCCACATACCAGTATCTTAGCAGACATACACAGGCACTTTCCGTACTTTGCAGCAGTAAAAGACCTTATTCCTAAGACGTACGTATTTGACAAAAAATATAAAATACAACTGTATGAAGACACTCCGGACCGCTGTTTGCACAAGGAGCTAAGGGTCTACACGGATGGTTCAAAAACCAACTGCGACACAGGTTCGGGTGTCTGTCAGGGAGCGCTGTCAACGACAACACGATGAATATTGGGCAAAACACACTGACTGCAGGCAAGCTACGGAAGCCGTTCCTAAGGTAAACCAGCAGCTATCACGTAAGTTAATCCGACTACCTAGACAAGCCCTGAAACAAATCGTGGGTATACTCACGGGTCACGGCTACTTCAACAAACACCTTTATAATATAGGTATTTCTGACAGCCCTCTGTGCAGAGCCTGCTTGGAGGAAGAGGAGACGAGCGCCCATGTTCTGCTGGAGTGCAGAGGCGTTGCAAGACAAAGGACTTCTCTAATGGGAAGCCCGCGGACACTAGTAGAAGCCTGCAGCAACATCCGGGGACTGCTGAGCTTTTTGGAGGAGCTGGGATGGCAGGACTGATGCCAATCCCCACGCAAAATAGGCACTGTGTGTCGAGTTGCGGAAACAGCCCGCCGTTCTACTAAGACTAGTTGATAATACTTCAGTTAAATTTAATACTAAATAACAATAATATCATATACTGTCATAGATCACTCGATTATATCCAAAACTTGGAATTCAATCTTGAGGTCCTTACTGTAAATCTCATATCAGGTTCTAGCGAAATGCACTAACAACTAAACTCACTTTACTCACATTAATAGAAAATTGTTTTCTGATATTAGATAGATGAACCAAACACTTGGGATAACACATATGATGAAGAAAATGGTTGGAGAGGCATAAAACTTCTTTATATGGCAGGATTATATAATATTTGGCAAAATGAAGATGTAATTATTTATTCATACTCAGTTATCACTATGGAATCCAATAGTTCTCTCAGTTGGCTACATCACAGAGTGCCTGCTATTTTGGATACACAGGAATTGATGGAGGTTTGATTTTAATACAATTTATTTACATACAACTTAAGGATGGTTTATTTGTACAGTGCCTATAGTAAAGGTTGTAGTCCATTTATCCCGCCATTTTGTCTTCTATGGGTTGGTTGATCTCAGTATCTAGAATTCTAGATGCGTGTTTCTTTACCCTGTTCGGTCACCGGACGTCACATTTGCATATTTCTAAAGAAATACCCTTTACCGGATCAGAAAATCCGCCGGTCCGGCATAATGGGACCCTCACTTACTCTTTGAGTTGATACGGAGCAAGCACAGGGGACCCAGGTTGTTATGCGCTATCTCCGCACCGTTAGCGCGCGCTATCCTTACACTAGTGGACTGCGCTGCTTTTTTGTAATCGATTAGGTACTTATATAGGTATTTTACTCTAAAACCACATTATGTATTTTGTGGCCGACCGACGGGAATTTGTATGCCACACACAGTTTCAAATCCATTTTCTTTACTGTTTAAAGGCGTAGCTGATCCGTGATCAGCCTCCAAAGCTGCAGCAAGTGACATTAGCTGAATTGGACTATGTGCCTATAACTTTTACATTCTAATTAATTGTGTAGGAAAAACTTTCGCACCCGGATTTTTTACTTTTTTTTTCGTACCTCGTTACTTTATAAGAGCACACTTTGCTCACGAAGAAGTGTGAGATTTTGCATATTAAAAGTTTATATAGAGAAGGAATGCAGTAAGTTAATATTTTTTCAACACACTTGCTTAAAAAATGCATTTACGGAGGTTGTATACATTGTTGAAGTGAAACTTCTTTATCGGCGTTGGAAAAAAATTTACCGTCACATTTTTCGGACGTTACGCGTCACATTTTTCCGTTACGCGCCTTCTTTTTTTATATTAATAGTTGATAGCTGAATGATCACACTGTCGCCGGCGCACACTGGACCAAGATTCGGAAATCGTGGACTTAGGGATCAAAGTTGAGCTATCGCAATGATTTTTTTTTTACGGACAGCTTAAAACAATAGCAGAAACTTTTGTTCTAGCACTTATGCTAAAAAGAACTTTTTCATACTAAAAAAAAATATTGTTTTTTTTCTTGTATGGAAAAAAAGTAACTATAGTGTTTTTTTTTTAAATGGTAAAGAGTATCAAAAAAGCTGCTAGTAGGTGTTATAGTGCTTACAATTATTGACAATTTTTGCCTTGACGTCATATCCATAAGTCTGCAGCTTTGGCGTCCACATGCCTTGGAAGTTTCCATACAAAATGTATGGGATTTTTTAAGTAGTTGAGGGTAAATTTAGCATCTATGTGATTCGAAACAGAAATTAAACTACCAATAATAATGTTTGATACTTAATACAAAGACGTAAACTTAAAATAAAAAACTCACTATTCGATTTTTTTTGTATAGAGAATTATTTGATATACTTGTCTTCCATTGACACAAACGTTAGAAAAAATGACTAATAGGTTAAAATGTGATTATAGCGTGTGCGTAATATTGTCTGACGTCACAAACCTAAATCTACCGCTTTGGTTTCTTCAGCTCAAGGATGTTAAGTGAGCGACGAACGGGAGCGAAATGACTGGCGCAGACAGACCCACCTATATTTATAACACGTATGCGGGTCTCTTACTATGCTGTCAGTACACCGATTGTGTGTCAGTTAATAGCGTGCGCGCATTAACCTCTACCTTGCTCTCTGTCTTCTCTATCCTCTATAATTATATGCTGGCCTACAAACTATGTGTGTGTCACATTGTGAAACAAAGAGTATATGTTAGTTCTGAAAAGAACTTTTTGTAGGGCTTTGAAAAAAGCCGTTTGGTGTATAATGGCGATGATCAATTTTCAATTCGTCACAAAGGTAAATCTACTGCTTTGGATTCTTCAGCTCAAGGATGTTGACTGAGCGGCGAACGGGAGTGAAATGACTGTCGCGCGCGCGTCGAGGTCTTCTCTGGCCCCCCGTTAGAGGATGTTGAGTGAGTGGCGAACGGGAGCGAAATGACTGTCGCAGACAGACCCACCTATATTTATAACACGTATGCGGGTCTCATACTATGCGGTCAGCACAGCGAACGTGTGTCAGCCAATAGCGTGCGCGCATACCAAAACACACTTAGTGATAATCCAGACCTCATCCCCACCCTTCCAATTCAGTTGGGGAAAAAGATACAAAACGCACCTCGCGCATCATTACTCACCACCCAGTAGGAAAAGCTTTTGGGACGCGGAAACGCTGCTCGAACCGATCTGAACAATTTAATTTACTGATATACTAATACTGTATCATGTCTCGATTTGTGCCTTACTTGGACTTCTATGTATTTCTACGCGAAAGCGAAGGCGAAGGCCTTAGAAATTACAAGAGGCTCCATCAAGGCATTTTGTCTTGCATCGCAACTGATGTCACTGAGACAGATTGCGAAAAGATATTGAAGTTCTGTAAAATCTTCACTATGAATTTGCATCGACGATGGACAACGGCATCCAGAATCCAAAAGACGTTTATGAACAAAAATATGGATTGGCTGGAGCAAAAAATCAAGTGGCCTGTATGCGATAACCTTGATCTCGCAGAGATATTTCAAGATGACACGGAAGAAGAAAATCAAGTACCAGAAAACATTGATTACGATGACCTTCCGTCAACATCTTGTACGATGGATGTGGGCACCTCTACTACGGTTATACCAAGAAACCCCTTTGAAGAGCTGGGAAACAAACAAAAGAAAAGACGATCAGATGGGCTTAAAGATTTTTCCGAAGATGAGTTGTCGTTTGCTTTGGTCACACTACTTAAGACAAACGGAAAAAATGATGTTGCCCAAGTGATTGAGCATCTCTTGAAGACCCTGACCGAGTTAATGAAGTCAAATCGTATTTGTTTGACAAAAAGGAGAGAGATATTATGCACGAAGATCATGCTCTAGCCCTTGCTACTTACCTGACGCTGAGGACTTGTTTGACTGATATCGAGGGAACTGCGCAGCTTCCTTCATACCACAAAATACTCAATGCCAAAATGAATTGCTATCCAGATAAATCTGATATCGAGGTTACAGAAATTGGTGCAAGAGTAAAGCTACAAGCGTTGCTGGATTTGACTGCACGAAGAATAATGCAAGTTGTTGGTCCTGTTGTTCTACCAACAAGTGAAATGAAGATGACCAGCAAATGGGGTTTCGACGGATCCTCATCACAAAGTAATTACAAACAGCGAAGTGGATTGCCTGATTTCGATGATTCATCGGTATTTATGACTAGCCTGGTCCCGTTGAAGCTAGAGTCTGGCAATATAATAGTGTGGGAGAATCCCAATCCTTCTTCCACATTTTACTGTAGACCGGTGAAGTTTCTGTTTGCAAAGGAAACCAAAGACTTTGTCAAACAAGAGCAATCAGGTATGGAAGAAGAAATCCGAAAGCTTAATGTGACAAGATACAAGGATTACCAGATTTCCCATGACTTGCACATGACGATGATTGATGGAAAGATATCCACAATCATAACAGATACTCCATCTGCAGCTACCTGTAATATATGTCTTGCGAAGCCAAGTGAGATGAATAACCTCTGTGAAGTTATTTCAAGACCAGTGCGAACTGAGGTGTACCAGTATGGACTGTCCTCTCTCCATATGTGGATCCGAAGTATGGAGTGTCTATTGCACGTATCGTACAATTTGGATTTTAAAATGTGGTGTGCAAGAGGCGATTATAAAGAGCTCAAAAAAGCCAGGAAGCACTGTACACAACAACAATTCAGGGAAGAAACAGGACTGTTGGTTATCATCGTGAAACAGGGTTTCGGAACCACCAACGATGGCAACACTGCCAGGCGATTCTTCAAGGAATACGAAAGCAGCGCACGGATAACAAAAATAGATGAAAATCTGATCAAGCGCTTTGCTGTTATCTTGCAAGTGATATCCTCCGGAAACGCCATCAAAATTGAGAGACTCCGGGAATATTGCAAAGAGACAGCTGAGCTTTTTGTACACCATTATCCGTGGTACAATATGCCAGTAAGCATACACAAGCTGCTCATACATGGGGCAGACATTTGCCAACATTTCTCTTGTCTTCCCATAGGAATAATGTCAGAAGAAGCATCGGAAGCTAGAAACAAGGAGTTTAGAAATACCAGAGAACATCACACTCGCAAGATCGGGAGAATCCTAAATAATGAAGACATACTGAATAATTTTTTGATTACGTCAGATCCTTATATATCTCATATCAGGCCAAAATATGGGAAGTCCAAGAAGATGGCTTTATTCCAAGAAGCTATTGATCTCCTAGAACTTCCGGCAGAAAAAGAAATCGAGATTGATGAAGTAGAAGTAGTTGCTTCAGAAGCTCCAGTAATGGCAGATCCCTTGGCTTGATCATCGCCATTATACATCAAACGGCTTTTTTCAAAGCCCTAAAAAAGCTCTTTTCAGAGCTAACATAAATAGTCCATGTTTCACAATGTGACACACACATAGTTTGTAGGCCAGCATATAATTATAGGGGATAGAGAAGACAGAGAGCAAGGTAGAGGTTAATGCGCGCACGCTATTAACTGACACACAATTGGTGTACTGACAGCATAGTAAGAGACGTGTTATAAATATAGGTGGGTCTGTCTGCGCCAGTCATTTCGCTCCCGTTCGTCGCTCACTTAACATCCTTGAGCTGAAGAAACCAAAGCGGTAGATTTAGGTTTGTGACGTCAGACAATATTACGCACACGCTATAATCACATTTTAACCTATTAGTCATTTTTTCTAACGTTTGTGTCAATGGAAGACAAGTATATCAAATAATTCTCTATACAAAAAAAAAATCGAATAGTGAGTTTTTTATTTTAAGTTTACGTCTTTGTATTAAGTATCAAACATTATTATTGGTAGTTTATTTTCTGTTTCGAATCACATAGATGCTAAATTTACCCTCAACTACTTAAAAAATCCCATACATTTTTTATGGAAACTTCCAAGGCCTGTGGACGCCAAAGCTGCAGACTTATGGATATGACGTCAAGGCAAAAATTGTCAATAATTGTAAGCACTATAACACCTACTAGCAGCTTTTTTGATACTCTTTACCATTTAAAAAAAAAACACTATAGTTACTTTTTTTCCATACAAGAAAAAAAACAATATTTTTTTTTAGTATGAAAAATTTCTTTTTAGCATAAGTGCTAGAACAAAAGTTTCTGCTATTGTTTTAAGCTGTCCGTAAAAAAAAATCATTGCGATAGCTCAACTTTGATCCCTAAGTCCACGATTTCCGAATCTTGGTCCAGTGTGCGGCGAGAACTCTCTCTACTCGTTTGTAGCTGAGTGACAATAGTTATTAAAGATAAGACTCGCTCAGCCAAACTCGCATAGCGATACTCGCTCAGCGGTACTCGCTCAGCGATACTCGCTCAGCGATACTCTCTCAGCGATACTCGCTCAGCCAAACTCGCATAGCGATACTCGCTCAGCAACATGTGCCTTAGATTACTGAGCCGTGTAATCATTACAGTTTCATAGGCAGTAATTTGTATTCATGTCTATGATAATAAAATCCTTTTGTTTAAACTTTATCTAATTTAACTTTATTTAACCAATTTCTGGAAAGTTGCATGTAGATCATTTTTCGAAAAATAAGGCCATAAAGAAGTTTCACTTCTTTATGGCCTAAAAAATGTGTGCGTGTACTAGTGTACGTGTGTACACTAGTCCACGCACACATTTTTTTCGAAAGTTCCAAATTACGAGCCATCCAACGGATCCCTCCCATACATGGTGCCGTGCGTATTCTTACGTTATTTTTTTAATTTCGGCCGAGTCTCCTTGGAAGCACTTAAACAAAAAAAAATGGGTGCGTGTACTTATGTAGGCGCGTGAGAAGTTATCCTTCTTTGGCATCGTTTAAGATTAGTTTTTAATTGCATGCAAATAATTAATTACAATAAATTAATAAAAAGTCTGGAAAAGGACACAGTCAATAAAGTTCAGTTTTAATTTGAAAAAATAAATAAATAATCAAAATATTCAATTAAAATCGCTACTGAATATAATTTATTAGAACATATGTGATTTGCACTTGTATGAAACTCAAACACGTATTACGAATATACAAACTGAAAATATGTGGATAAATATTATAAATATGAATACCTATAACTGTTACTTTATTACAAAAAATAAAGATGTGGTTTTTGGTTCTACTACACCAATGGTCAAGAGATGGCGCTGTAGTCTCCTGAATCGCGCTTTGGTTCCGTTGTTCCAGATTAATAAATACTTTTGATAGGCCTTCACAATGCAGTCGTTACCACACACAAAATAGAGATTCTATTTCTATTTTGTTGGTAGATTTTCTTAATGTGCGGTAAACACAAAAGTAACACCATGAACTTCATGGTGTTTATTTTTTGTGTTACAGTGATGCGCGCGCATCTTAAAATTTCACTCTCATCATTTTTTCATAACGCGCCTAAAGAAGTATAACTTCAAAAAGCGTGTGCGTCTCGGGACGGACGACAGAATTAGTTTAAGTTCACACAACTTAAACTAATCTAAGTGGCGCTACGGGTTAGAGTGACGAGGAGGAGTATCTACATCAGTAAGTAAACGGATTGGAAAAGGATTTGAGGGTGAAAAGGGAATTCGAAAGAGAAAAGGGATTCGAGGGTGAAAAGAGGGATGGGCGTGTGATAGTGGGGATTGATGAGGGAGGGAGTGGGGTGTATCTAGGGACACCCTTCTGCTACCTGGGCGGGCTGTGGCGAAGGCCTTACGCACCGAAGGGAATCCAGACAGACCGCCGCCATAACGCGTTGTGTAACGCAGCGGTTTACCCTCCCATAATAAGTTATCACTTCGTAAAAAGAGACGTAATATGTATGTATTTTGTTCTAATTTTCACCACCCACACGTGTCACTATTTGGAAATGCGTGCTATTTTGTTATTAGAAAAAGTTTGCTTCATTACTTAAATTATATATAAGTACTGTTTTCTCGCAAATGTGTTGAAAAACGTATGACATTTGTGCGGATTAGTATTTACAATCTCGTGACTATGGCAAACCCTCGACTTTTCGTCTACTAGTTTTTTTATATCCAACCGCACTAATATCATAAATAATTGTTATATAATATTAGGTACGTGTCTACCACTGAACAACTTAACGGCTGAGCTGATTTTGATGATTCTCTTTGTGTAGAGATTCCTTAGATTTACGACTGAGCCCGGTATTTGACGCTGTGTTTGAGTTCATCATAACTTCTGACGGGTCTGCTATAAGCTACTAAATAAAATATTCAAGAATTATCCCAAGAATATCTTGGAGTTTAAAAAAGACATTCCTTTTTTTTCAGGCCTGGTTGGATGTTGATAATGTGCCACCAAATGCAGCTATTTCTCTTTTGAAACCAACCAACACATTAAGTTGGCATAGAGTGTCGAAACTTGTTAATAACTCTAAATATAAAGCAAGCGATTGTAATAAAAAAATACCAGAACAAAAAACAAATAAAGAAAAACAAAAAACTCTCACTACATGGTTTACTAAAACTGCTAAAAGACAAAATGAAAACTGTTCTACTGTACCATCTAAGAAAAATAAATTTTAAATATTGATTGACCTAAACATTTTTTTTCTGATTTTTAAGTCTGCTGTTATACATACATTTCTAGGATCTTTTATCTATGACAATACACTCTTCCCAGTGTACTTGAGACCTAGGCCTATATTTAATAGGTGAAACAAAGCTCATTAAAATTTATAAACATGTACCTCCATAATAAAAGGAACAATAATTAAAAATTCAAACAGTGGCTTGATATTGTTTATTTTTATTATATATTTAAATATATACCCTCACATTCCCTAGTCTTCTTTTGAGCACTGAAGAGTATGATTTTGGTTTAACAAAACAACAACAACCAAGTATTAGAAGGTAAATAATGTTTCCACATTAAGCACAACACTTACAAGTTCTCTATTCTGAATTGCTTGAAGTCTGCTTCACACCGTATCATTTTATGATTTTGTAAGAAATCCGATACAAAACTGGTCACCTCATACTCTTCTGCAAAAAAATATATAAATGAATTTAGAAGTACGCAGTGCGAAACGAACGACCGATGTTCGTTTTACTACATTCATGGCTACAGCATCATGTTATACTTTTAAAATGCGAACTACAGTACTAAACGACACATACAAAGCAAATTTAGAAATATGCGGGTCCACACAGAGCGAGGCGATTGCCGCGCGAGGCAGCTCGGTTAGTGTGATCGTGCCTCGGCCGAAGCAAGCGCGGGCGCTGCCGCGGATATACGACCGAGCGCCCGAGCCATCGAGTGTGGGATTTTTATTTTGCTCAAAGGTGCTTCAGTCGTTTGCTGCACGTCCAGACGCTTCCGTATTTTGTTTCGTGCTTTCAATAATAAAGATCAGTGCTTGAAATTAATATCTCTCTATGATGTAAACCACCCGGCTATGACATGAAAGTGATCCTAATTTTACAAATAGAGGACATGGGGAAGATTCTATAATATTTTTTTTATATTTGATGATGCCATGATGTCTTAATTAGCCGACACTCGATGGCTCGGGCAGCGCGCGCGCTTGCCTCGGTCGAGGCGCCTACACACAAATCGAGCCGCCTCAATTGGTGGAGGCTCGAGATTTAGTTATTTTTACCCGACTGCGCAATGCAAGAGCGCGAAGCGCGACGACAGGGTATAGTGTTTAACAGTCTATATTGTATGTTTTTTATTTCGGATATCGACCCCGCAGCCCACCCCCCGCCTGCGTTGCACGTAGTCCGACGCGGACATTATGATTTAATTTAGATTGAGTAACTAACATTCCAAAAGACCACACAATAAAATTGAATAAATATTACGCTCTAACCATCGAACTAACCAAAAATGGGTATCTAATTAATTTAGAACTGCTCAGTTTCTCTCTCCCATACCATGGACCTGATACCCGCACGGTGAATCCACGGATTGTTAAGAAGTCCGTCTCTCTATCTGCTTAACATGCAGCAACGAGAATTGATTTGCTGTCTCATGAAGTACTTACGTGGATATCTACTGCACTGATAAATGAGTCTTATTAAATGCTTAGCCAATGCTTTAAAAAGACTTTTTCCTCTTATCCGTCCTTTTATATAATAAGGAGTTAATAGTTTAACCACCCATGGAGCAATGCGTTCTTTGCAACTTATAACAAACTCGGAGGTCTCTTCTAAAGGTGACACTATGCACTCTTCATCACTATCGTCACCAAATAATTCTTTAAGCATTTCTTTGATCTGTAATTATTGCATAAGTTTGTTAATTAATATAATGGTGTGTATAGTGATAGTTATAGGTACGCTCATATTTTAGCATCAAATAAAAAATGCTCCGACTCAACTACATAAAGCAACTCTTCTGTAATTAAACATTCAATTGAGCGAGCGAGACAGAACTGTACGCTTCAACGCAGCGCAAGCGAAACGACGAGTCAGCAGCCGACTGCGTTTTCTTTTCTCTCTCTAAAAATGACTGAGCTGTATTGTTATTCTTCTCTTGATAACAAATAGCGAATAAGTAAATAAAGTTCATGACAAATCGTGATTTTTGATAATAAAAAATGATTTTATAGTTTTACGAATGAAAACTGTTGCCGCGTATTATTCGATCTTTTGTGTTCTTTATAAAAGCATCGAAGGCATTGTTTTATCTTTGTAACACATAATATACGTAATATTGTTATATTGAGTGCACATGCAGCATTTTTGAATGTCCAATTGTCAATAAAGCGAATTGTGGCCATGCATCACACTAAAGCGATTTGTGGTCATGTATCAAAATCTAAGTGCTACACTTTTGAGCGGCGAGTCATCCCTTTTGGTTTTATCTAAGATATACATCCTGAAGATTTAACTGAAGATGTACGTATCTGTCTATGCGAATCTTTAATCTGTAAAAACTAAATTACACTGACACAGTTATTGGAAAGTGCTTGCTGGAACGAAATAAAAATATTGTTCAACGAGTGCAAAATTCGTGCGTCCGGTTTGTTTACAAGATTCCACGTCGTAGAGCTCACAAATCTCGATACCTAAATATCAAGAAAGTAGTTAATATAAAATCTCGGCCTAATTTACATTTCCCATGTTTCTTATTTTTTATAATCAAGTCCATCGTATGTGTTTCATAAATTAAAATTCAGTGATTCATTAGAAATTCTCGTGTAACCGACCGTCTAAAGTTCGTTTCCCATCGTACAGCTGCTTTCCGTTGTAGTTTTAGTTACTCTGCAACGTTATGTTGGAACAACATTCCTTCACCCGTTCGAAATTATTTAAGTATAAATTAATTTAAAGTTAAATGTAAAAGAAAGACTTCTATTAGACTTACAAAAAACCTAACTAACTAATTAGTGTACTAAAGCCACCACAGACTTGCTTTTTATTATTATTAATGTTCCTCGTTCTGTGTTTTATTATTTCCTTATGTTATATTGTGTTTATTATGTTTATCATTTCATTTTTTATATTTAATACCTTTTTGAGACTGTTTGTTTGTCGTAGTGCGCATACCTGCGTGGCGTTCGAAGAATACCAGCAGATTATTGAGGCATTATGCTGAGCGAAACCCATTTTGGTATATAAGGATTTAAGTTTTTATTTTATCTGTCTTTAGTTTTTAAAATTTTATGTGATAGTTTTATTTTATGTTTATTCCTACTTACTACATAAAAATTTTCCTATTCTATTCTATACATAGTGAAGCCCAGCAACTTCACATAACTGCAACTTTTGGATGTATTCTGGTATGATTCTCCTATAAACTTGTAATAATTTTATTACAATGACAGATCGTTATCCTTATCGTGCTTTTTACAAAAATGAAAAGGAGAGGCTGCTGTCATATTTAGTTTTAGGATTAGTTAAGAGACTCATGCCAGGGTCAGTGCCTATTATTTGGTAATATAACCTTTTACTTTATTTTTTTGCATATTTCAGTAATTATTTTATGCCTTATACGAAATAACATATTCTGTCAGGAGTGTGTTTATATTATGCTTCTTACCCTTGCAAGCTTCTTCCTATTGCAGTCACCGATTTGATCCAACACTTCAAACAGTTTAGACTTAAGGAAGTATTCTTCACATAGCCATTTGCTAGTATTGCTTTTATTATTCTTGGGAATTTCTGCTTTTTCTTGGAACACATTGTCAGTATTGTTCACTAGCAAACCAGTTAATGATGCCAATCTTTCATCTAGTGATTTGATTTGGGCTGTATGGTTTTCAATGACTGTTACTTGTGGTGTATTTGGTTCAGTTTCATTAGATTTTTTAATATTGGTGATATTATCTTGTAAAGTTGTTTCAATATTATCACATAAAGAACCCTCAAATAAATCATCTTCATGTGAATCACACTGAAATAGCTTTTCTAACTGCATCATCAATTCATCAGAGTCTTGAGATTCTATAGACATCCTAGGTGGATTGTGAGACATATTGGGCGATTTTGTCTGATTAACTGTAGTTAAGAACGATGAATCTACAGAAGTTTTACCAAAATTATCTGTAACCTGTGGGCTATCAGCTTGTAAATTAGCAATAACTGGTATATTATATGTTGGAACATTAGTTTTCATGTTAGATATAAAGTATGATTTTGTTTCTTCTTTCTGTATAACTTTAGGTGATGTTGATGTTTTACGGATTTTTTTCCGTTTACTACACACACACTGACAATTGCAATCTATAGTATAGGACAGTGTACTTTGCAACTTTTTTTCATTTTCAGGTGGTTTCCGTAGGCATTCATACAGCTTTCTATTTAATTTTCCTTTTTTGGTATCTTCCTTCAGTGCTGTTATCTATAAACCATTTAGAAAGATGTAAGAAAATGTTATCAATTTAAAGCTCCACACTTCCTAAATAGACTGAATCTTACGTTTTTATTTTTTGAGTATTTAACTGCTAGATGTTTAAATCTAAAGAAAAATTTACCAGAAAAAAATCCACGCGGACCAGGCAGCAGACGGGAATCGAACCCGCACCCTTCGCTATCCGGGCGAATGCACTGACCATTATGCTACCGCGGCCCTGACAGCCGTGTCGAATTTCCTCTAGCCTTAGGCTGCAAAGACTGAATCTTGGATATGCTAAACACCTAGGTCTATAACATCAACAGGAGCTGGGTCGAAAGCTCACTGCTGGAGAGCGTGTCCGGCCGCAACATGCGGTGGGCCTAAAAAGGAGAGGGGAAAGCCCTGTGGGATTGGGTAGAGAATGAGACGATGGGGTTTCTCTAAGAAATGGTGGCGGGACAACTGCCCCTTCTCAGATATGGAGTATAGTGGTCAAAAAGAAGAAACGGAATGGGCATGCTAGGGCGCCCGTACCGACTGATCCTATTGGGGAAAATTTGCCGAATGCCTAGAGTTCGGCAAAGGAAAAGTACAAGAAGACACAGACTCCGCTAGCTAAGGGCGCCTAAAATAAACACTGCGGTCGGTCGGTTGGGCTCAAATTGATGCCGAAAGGAACTACAAGTGTGTCCTCAGTACCTATACTGGAGTGATCTCCAGGCCTAAGCTGTTTATTAATCGGCTGACTTCGGGATTGAGGGAGGCCTGACCATTAAGGAGGGACAGGCGGGAGACACAATGTTAATGGTCTCTGGTCCTGAGTGCCAGAAAAAATCGGACAGCTTGGCGGACGCTATTAGGAGCTTCTTTCCAGACAACCTGGTCAGGACCATGAAACAGACATGAAATGGTGTCTAAGGACGAAGTCGCAGCTGCAGTCACGGCGTCGGCAGACTGCCTCCAAAAGAAGGCGAAGGTCGGATATACGCTCCGGACCCGGTGGCCAATATGTCGCTATAGTTCAGTGCCCAGAGGTGCCGCTAAGAAGTTGGCCAAGATAAGCAAATTAAAGGTGGGATGGTGCCTATGCAGGATCCCATCCCTTTGCGCTGCTATAAGCGCATGGGCAGGGGATACGTTTATTTAAGGTGTCCGTCGAAGACAGATAGAAGCCAATTGTGCTTCCGATGTGGAGTTGCGGGGCATAAGGTTGCGCAGTGCACCGTTGTGCCCCGCTGCTCAGTATGTGAGGCGAGTGGCTGTCCGTCGGGCCACGTTACGAGGAGAGGGAGAGGGAGAAGGAAATACGACTCCTGCCTTGGGGACACAGGTCGCGGAGTCGCCGGAGCCGGAGCCCCCGGACCGGGAGATGCCTGAGTGACCTAGATCTCTCGGGCACTTCTCTTCCCCGTCGCCTGCGGCTCTCCTCCTCTTCACAAGGAGAAGAGCCGCATTTCACGAGGAGCGGGAGACGCAGGCGAAGGGGAATGGGGGGCGACGACTCCCGCTTCTCCAGGAAATAACGGCTCGACGTGGAGGGCGCCGAGTCGCATTGCACAGTTCCCGAAATAGTCCTTTGCCCGGAGGCACCGCTCATCGGGGAGGGATCCGGAAACGGACCTTGCGGGTGTGCAAAACAAACCATAACAGCGCCCGCACTCCCGACGCGCATTAAAGACCGCGGTCCTAGTAAGAGTATTGTCTGGTTTTTATTGTAGGTATGGCCATGTTCTTTTAATCGAGCCCCAGGGCTGGATGCAATGAACAAGGAGAAGTGCCAGATACGTTCTTCTTGCTGTTCTGGTGGCTATAGAAGACAATCAAATAGCCCTCTGTGCTTTCCTTGACATTGTAGGAGCTTTTGCCAACGTCACCACTAAAACGCTTTCCCAACGTCCCGCTAGATCGAGTTGATGCTCCTTAACAGAACTGTTAAAGTAAGCGTTCATGGAACAACAAAAGACTTCAAGACAACAAGAGGCTCTCCATAAGGGGAAGTTTTATTGCCTCTATTGTGGTCTTTGGGTGTTGATCAGCTACTAACAAATGTTTCTGATATAGGATTAGATATACAGAGACAGGATACGCGGAAGATGTCGTGGCTTGCGTCATTGGTCCGTGTCAAACTACCGTATCATCTATCCTGCAAAGATCTCTGACCATCATTGTTAAATGGTGCAACAATATATCAGTAAATCCGCTAAACAACAATAATACCTTTTACTAGGAAGCGAAAGTTAAAGGAAAAGAAAAAAAAACAACTTACAACGCCCACGATAAAAGCAATTCCTGTTCCATGCTCCACAGAGGTTAAATACCTGGGCGTTACTATCGACCAAAACAACAACAACGTGGAACAATCACATTGATAATGTGATACAAAAGGCGAAAATCGCCCCTGGAATATGCTGTCGACTAGCTGGGACGAAATGGGGTCTAAACCCAAAAATCGCCGTGTATGTACACCACCATCGTAAGGCCGATGTTAACATACGCCTGCCTAATGTGGTGGAAAAAAGCCACTCAAAGACAGTCATCAACAAGCTGAATAGCTTGCAAAGAATAGCATGCCTTATGGCAACCGGTGCTACGAGTATATCTTTGATGCCAGGTGCTGCACTTAATGCTTTGCTAAACATACCGTTCTTTCATTTATTTATAATAAAGGAGGCAAAAGCAAGTATATACAAAGTAAACTACTGGCAGGACGAACTGGCACTCTCAAGCACTGAGGTCTCTCCACTAAACAGCGCTTGAACTAACACCACTAGCAATGAAACAGATGTCATGCTACCACTGAGTAATTTTGCCAGAAATTACTTGGTAGAACTGCCAAGCAAAGAAACGACTATGAATCCTGCAAGGCTGGATGTCTAATCTGGTTCACAGATGGCTCCAAAATGGGTCAAAATGAAGGAAGTGGAATATAAGGCGAAAGGGCGAGATTTAAACAAAAGCGTGAAAGCACGCCACTATATTCCAGGCAGAGGTATATGCCATCATAGAATGTGCAGAAGTCAATTGTCAACGAATCTACATAAACCAGGCCATGTAAATTATTTCATATAGCCAAGTAGCGCTTAGAGCCATTAACTGAACACAATATGCACGAAATTGGTGAAAGACTGATAAACTGAATAACTAAGGTCAAAAGAATAAAGTTATTCTTTAATGGGTACCAGGACATTCAGGGATAATTAGCAACGAGAAAGCTGATGAACTGAAAGAGCAGGAGCAACAGATGGGATCAGAACCTTTCTGTGGCATCCCTAGAAACTAATGAACACTATGCAAATTCTTAATGACGAACTACTAGGCGGATCTAAAAAATACTGATTAAACCAACCAAGATTAGAGCACACTAAATCACTAATAGAAGGTTACTTGAAAAAACAGGCTGTTGAGTTAATAGAACTTAGCAGACCGAATACCCGTACTATTGTTAGAGCCTTAATTGGACACTGCAAACCCAACAGACATCACTTTCATACAATATTAAGTGACACTGATGTCACTGTATTAAGTGAAATATCAAAACACCTTCTATGTGAATGTGGGCTTCTTATCCACAAACCAAAGTATTCATGTCTTTAGAGTCTTTAGAGTCTGCGTGTTGGGTCATGACCCAAACTCAATATTCCCTCCATAGGGAATATCTGTGCATCAGAAGTGGGAACATTAATAAATAGGCTGATGATTATGATTTATAACTGCAGTAAATTTGTTGATCCTCATACTTTAGTATTAATGATAAATATACTCCCAGACACATCTATTGGCCCACCTAGCATTCTAAGTTCTGACCTGTATGGTTTTGACTGTCCCTAGCTAAAAATAAATGCCACATTGAGCAGAAACTTTTTACGCTGTTTTGAAGCCGATTTATTAACCATCATTATCATGAATTTATTTAAAAGAATAATTCCCAATTCCCCACTTACTTAATTAAATTTTTGCTACAGACTGTTGAAACTTATAACACTAAGTGGGCTAATAGATATGTCTAGAAGTGTAATTCATGAGTAAAATTTTAGACAAATTTTTTGGAAAGAAAACTTATTGAGTATTATAAGTGTATTGGATAGAGTACTCACCTCAGCCACAATATTTTTCCTGTATAGTTGTACAACCATACAAGTTTGAGCAGCCTTCATTTCCATAAGTTTAGCACATCTCCATATAGCACTTGGCAAATAGATATTTTTATTAAGAAGTTTCTGATTGTTTTCATAATTTATAGAGAGAAGTCTAATTATATATTCCATATAGTGTTTACGAACCTTGAAAAAATATTTATTTAATTTACCATAGGGTTTACCATGCAACATTTTTGATCAACTGATACCAAATTTGTAACTTTATGGTTTCAACCATACCTTTTCTTTCGTAGGAATAAAATAGGATTATATAGTTACTTTTGCGATAGTTTGGAACGAACAAGCAAAAGAGATAAGTCAAACAGTAGACCTCTGCTAACTCCAACTTTGTAACAATCAAATTTACTTACTTTCGATATAAGAAGATGAGGTTCAAATTCGATATCTGGTAAAGGCATAGACGTCTCATCGTATTCATTAATTAATTGATCTATGAGGTGGTCTGAGTCAGAGAATGCATCGAAACTTTTGCTACTTCTTTTATTCATCTTTTCACTAGGATGGTACTCACAGTTCTTTCATTATTTCACCAAAATTATATTATTTAAAACTATGATGGCCACAAGACATTCAAATCTTTAGATTAATTAATTATTAGAGAAAAATACAGCTAAGATCTTATTTTTATTGTAGCCGGCTTAGTTTTATGTAAAAGTAAACAACGAATGACCAAAGACCGAAACTGATTCCCATTTGTTGTAGTTTTTATTATGAAGTGTACTTGGCTATTCGTGTTTGCTGTTTGTAAACTTGTCATGAGTCTATCCTTTTCATCAGCAGTCAGGTTCAGACCAAAGGGTGCGGCCAGAGTGCACTCAGATTCAGATTCAGATTCTGAAAACAAGCGCGAGAAATAAACAGTGCAATCTGGCCGTAGGGTGCGGCCAGAGTGCACTCAGATTCAGATTCAGATTTCGAAAACAAGCGCGAGAAATAAACAGTGTAGTCGAAGGGTACGGCCAGATTGCACTCCTGATTCAGATTCAGATTCGGACTCAGAAAACAAAGCGCGAGAAAAAGCAGGCAACCTGCTTAGACTACACTGTTTATTTCTCGCGCTTGTTTTCAGAATCTGAATCTGAGTGCACTCTGGCCGCACCCGTACCCTTCGACTACACTGTTTATTTCTCGCGCTTGTTTTCGAAATCTGAATCTGAATCTGAGTGCACTCTGGCCGCACCCAAAGACTGAATCTGAGTGCACTCAGATTCAGTCTCAGAAAACAAGCGCGAGAAATATACAGTGTAGTTTAAGCAGGTTGCCTGCTTTTTCTCGCGCTTTGTTTTCTGAGTCTGAATCTGAATCAGGAGTGCACTCTGGCCGCACACTTAGACTACACTGTTTATTTCTCGCGCTTGTTTTCGGAATCTGAATCTGAGTGACTCTGGCCGTACCCTTCGACTACACTGTTTATTTCTCGCGCTTGTTTTCAGAATCTGAATCTGAATCTGAATCTGAGTGCACTCTGGCCGCACCCTATGGCCAGAGTGCACTCAGATTCAGATTCCGAAAACAAGCGCGAGAAATAAACAGTGTAGTCGAAGGGTACGGCCAGAGTCACTCAGATTCAGATTCCGAAAACAAGCGCGAGAAATAAACAGTGTAGTCTAAGTGTGCGGCCAGAGTGCACTCCTGATTCAGATTCAGACTCAGAAAACAAAGCGCGAGAAAAAGCAGGCAACCTGCTTAAACTACACTGTATATTTCTCGCGCTTGTTTTCTGAGACTGAATCTGAGTGCACTCAGATTCAGTCTTTGGGTGCGGCCAGAGTGCACTCAGATTCAGATTCAGATTTCGAAAACAAGCGCGAGAAATAAACAGTGTAGTCGAAGGGTACGGGTGCGGCCAGAGTGCACTCAGATTCAGATTCTGAAAACAAGCGCGAGAAATAAACAGTGTAGTCTAAGCAGGTTGCCTGCTTTTTCTCGCGCTTTGTTTTCTGAGTCCGAATCTGAATCTGAATCAGGAGTGCAATCTGGCCGTACCCTTCGACTACACTGTTTATTTCTCGCGCTTGTTTTCGAAATCTGAATCTGAATCTGAGTGCACTCTGGCCGCACCCTACGGCCAGATTGCACTGTTTATTTCTCGCGCTTGTTTTCAGAATCTGAATCTGAATCTGAGTGCACTCTGGCCGCACCCTTTGGTCTGAACCTGACTGCTGATGAAAAGGATAGACTCATGACAAGTTTACAAACAGCAAACACGAATAGCCAAGTACACTTCATAATAAAAACTACAACAAATGGGAATCAGTTTCGGTCTTTGGTCATTCGTTGTTTACTTTTACATAAAACTAAGCCGGCTACAATAAAAATAAGATCTTAGCTGTATTTTTCTCTAATAATTAATTAATCTAAAGATTTGAATGTCTTGTGGCCATCATAGTTTTAAATAATATAATTTTGGTGAAATAATGAAAGAACTGTGAGTACCATCCTAGTGAAAAGATGAATAAAAGAAGTAGCAAAAGTTTCGATGCATTTTCTGACTCAGACCACCTCATAGATCAATTAATTAATGAATACGATGAGACGTCTATGCCTTTACCAGATATCGAATTTGAACCTCATCTTCTTATATCGAAAGTAAGTAAATTTGATTGTTACAAAGTTGGAGTTAGCAGAGGTCTACTGTTTGACTTATCTCTTTTGCTTGTTCGTTCCAAACTATCGCAAAAGTAACTATATAATCCTATTTTATTCCTACGAAAGAAAAGGTATGGTTGAAACCATAAAGTTACAAATTTGGTATCAGTTGATCAAAAATGTTGCATGGTAAACCCTATGGTAAATTAAATAAATATTTTTTCAAGGTTCGTAAACACTATATGGAATATATAATTAGACTTCTCTCTATAAATTATGAAAACAATCAGAAACTTCTTAATAAAAATATCTATTTGCCAAGTGCTATATGGAGATGTGCTAAACTTATGGAAATGAAGGCTGCTCAAACTTGTATGGTTGTACAACTATACAGGAAAAATATTGTGGCTGAGGTGAGTACTCTATCCAATACACTTATAATACTCAATAAGTTTTCTTTCCAAAAAATTTGTCTAAAATTTTACTCATGAATTACACTTCTAGACATATCTATTAGCCCACTTAGTGTTATAAGTTTCAACAGTCTGTAGCAAAAATTTAATTAAGTAAGTGGGGAATTGGGAATTATTCTTTTAAATAAATTCATGATAATGATGGTTAATAAATCGGCTTCAAAACAGCGTAAAAAGTTTCTGCTCAATGTGGCATTTATTTTTAGCTAGGGACAGTCAAAACCATACAGGTCAGAACTTAGAATGCTAGGTGGGCCAATAGATGTGTCTGGGAGTATATTTATCATTAATACTAAAGTATGAGGATCAACAAATTTACTGCAGTTATAAATCATAATCATCAGCCTATTTATTAATGTTCCCACTTCTGATGCACAGATATTCCCTATGGAGGGAATATTGAGTTTGGGTCATGACCCAACACGCAGACTCTAAAGACTCTAAAGACATGAATACTTTGGTTTGTGGATAAGAAGCCCACATTCACATAGAAGGTGTTTTGATATTTCACTTAATACAGTGACATCAGTGTCACTTAATATTGTATGAAAGTGATGTCTGTTGGGTTTGCAGTGTCCAATTAAGGCTCTAACAATAGTACGGGTATTCGGTCTGCTAAGTTCTATTAACTCAACAGCCTGTTTTTTCAAGTAACCTTCTATTAGTGATTTAGTGTGCTCTAATCTTGGTTGGTTTAATCAGTATTTTTTAGATCCGCCTAGTAGTTCGTCATTAAGAATTTGCATAGTGTTCATTAGTTTCTAGGGATGCCACAGAAAGGTTCTGATCCCATCTGTTGCTCCTGCTCTTTCAGTTCATCAGCTTTCTCGTTGCTAATTATCCCTGAATGTCCTGGTACCCATTAAAGAATAACTTTATTCTTTTGACCTTAGTTATTCAGTTTATCAGTCTTTCACCAATTTCGTGCATATTGTGTTCAGTTAATGGCTCTAAGCGCTACTTGGCTATATGAAATAATTTACATGGCCTGGTTTATGTAGATTCGTTGACAATTGACTTCTGCACATTCTATGATGGCATATACCTCTGCCTGGAATATAGTGGCGTGCTTTCACGCTTTTGTTTAAATCTCGCCCTTTCGCCTTATATTCCACTTCCTTCATTTTGACCCATTTTGGAGCCATCTGTGAACCAGATTAGACATCCAGCCTTGCAGGATTCATAGTCGTTTCTTTGCTTGGCAGTTCTACCAAGTAATTTCTGGCAAAATTACTCAGTGGTAGCATGACATCTGTTTCATTGCTAGTGCACTCTGGCCGCACCCAAAGACTGAATCTGAGTGCACTCAGATTCAGTCTCAGAAAACAAGCGCGAGAAATATACAGTGTAGTTTAAGCAGGTTGCCTGCTTTTTCTCGCGCTTTGTTTTCTGAGTCTGAATCTGAATCAGGAGTGCACTCTGGCCGCACACTTAGACTACACTGTTTATTTCTCGCGCTTGTTTTCGGAATCTGAATCTGAGTGACTCTGGCCGTACCCTTCGACTACACTGTTTATTTCTCGCGCTTGTTTTCGGAATCTGAATCTGAGTGCACTCTGGCCATAGGGTGCGGCCAGAGTGCACTCAGATTCAGATTCAGATTCAGATTCTGAAAACAAGCGCGAGAAATAAACAGTGTAGTCGAAGGGTACGGCCAGAGTGCACTCCTGATTCAGATTCAGATTCAGACTCAGAAAACAAAGCGCGAGAAAAAGCAGGCAACCTGCTTAAACTACACTGTTTATTTCTCGCGCTTGTTTTCGAAATCTGAATCTGAGTCTGAATCTGAGTGCACTCTGGCCGCACCCGTATCCTACTGCCGCAGGCAATCTGCTTAACTACACTGTATATTTCTCTCGCTTGTTTTCGGAATCTGAATCTGAGTGCACTTTGGCCGTACCCGTACCCTATGTATACCAAAGGGTTCAGACTCAGAAAACAAGCGCGAGAAATAAAACAGTACAGTTTAGGCAGGGTGACCATAGTGGCATAGAATAATATATGCACTGCAGTGTTGTTGGCAGATCCGTTTTTTGAAAATCGGGAGGTGTTATAGAAAAAAAACAGTAGATGTATGGAAAGAGCTACAAGAAAAACAGTAGATGCAGAGGCGTACTTTTATCGATTTGCACCCCCCCCCCCCCAGGGGGGGGGGTGCAGGGGGGAATTAGTAAATCACATCAGAATAAACACCAGTAACGAAACAGTATATGACATATACTGTACATATATAAGTATATTTTTATTTAGAAATACATATGAAACATCCATGACTGAAGTACAAATGCTCGTATTCATCACACAAACATTGCCCCCACTGGGATTCGAACCCGGGACCTCTCGAGTCGGCGACACCATAAAACCGTGCGTACAAACCACTCGACCACGGAGGTCGTCATAACAACATTGTAGTACACGTCAACAGTGTAGTTTAAGCAGCTTGCCTATATAATACATTGTATTGTATCCGTTACCCTAGTATCCCATAACACAAGCCTTACAGTGCTTACTTTGGGGCTAGGCTAATTGGTGTGAGTGTTGCAAATATTTATTTATTTATTATTATTTTACACTGTTAATTTCTCGCGCTTGTTTTCTGATTCTGAACCTGCGTGCACTGTGGCCGTACCCTTAGGGTGCGGCCAGAGTGCACTCAGATTCAGATTCCGAAAACAAGCGCGAGAAATAAACAGTGTAGTCGAAGGGTACGGCCAGAGTGCACTCCTGATTCAGATTCAGACTCAGAAAACAAAGCGCGAGAAAAAGCAGGCAACTTGCTTAGACTACTCTGGCCGCACCCTTCGACTACACTGTTTATTTCTCGCGCTTGTTTTCGGAATCTGAATCTGAATCTGAGTGCACTCTGGCCGTACCCAAAGAGTAACATGTATAGATAATAAATGCCAACGTCTTGATGACAGTCAAGAATGTTATTCTTTTATCTTGTTAAAATATCTACAAATAATGAATTGTTATGAAACATTGTAAAAGGAAATAAAACACAGTTTCGATTTAAATACTGCTATTTATTAACTCTATCACATTTAATTTTATTAAGATTGCAATTAGTAGTAATTTAATAGGCTAGTTGACCCTTTTTGGAAAAAGGTTTTAAATGGTTAATAAATGTTCTATTAGACCGAAAAAAGGTATTGTATTTTTTTTAAACCTAGAAAGCTACAAATCTTTAATTTTATAATAGACTTTTCATGGACATACAAAAACGCTATCGGCCATTTTAGTCTATAGATTATCTATGCTATGACGTGAACTGTCGTAAACAAAAACTCGTAAACACGTAGAAAATTACTTTTAACTGAGTTTATAATAAACAAAAACATGATTTCTAATAAATACCACGAAAAATAAAGTAATTATCATTACTGTATTGTACGAGAATATAAAAACACATCCTTGAAGACTCCAGGAAAGTTGTCGATTAAAGTGCCGAAAGAAATTAACCTACGCAACTTTATTACACTTATTCATATGTTTTATTTATAATACTACATTGTAATACTAAATGCACTGTACTTACATAGATGCCTTGTCGTTTCTCTGCTCCGCAGAGCAGAAATCGGGGTTTAGTGCAACAGATTCACCAACCATCAATGCGTTTCTGCTTTCACAAAGCCGGCATCCTTAATTAGTTTTGTCAAAAAAAAACTAAGTTTACTGTTTTTTTCTTTCCTTAAGTTAAAAGTGTTATAAGATAAATTTAGTCAGACGAAAGAATCCACCTACAGTAACACGCGAATGACATTTAGTTGTTTACCACAAGAGACGTCAAAATCATGGCGGATGTGGCGAACAGCGTTTTTAGTGTTTAAAAAATATAGACTAAAAAATTTCTTTTAAAATTAAATTTCTACAGCAATCTTCTGCTTTTATGAAGTGAAATCGATATATTAAGGTTCCTTAGACTAAATACTTTAAGAAATAAACATTTATTTAATACAATTCGACATGAGTTAACTAGCCTATTATAAATTGTTTGTTAATTGACTTCAAAATATAATTATATTTATATATTTAATTCGAACGTTATTTTATTTTATATAATAATTTTATTGTAAATTGTTTGTGATTTACAATACGATGAAAACACGGATGAAAATTGTTTAGGGAATAAATGGGTATTTAAAAAAACACGCTTACACTACATTACAATTAGATTATTAAAATACAATAATAAAATACGACTTCATGCATCCACTATTCTATAGTTATAGTTAAACAAACGTATTCTAACATGATCCTCTAAACTTAAAACTAAATTTAACTTCAGTCTTTCCTTGTCATTCTGTATTAAGAATAACAAGAATACACTGGTGTCGATTATGACATGATTCTCTAAACCTAAACTTAAATTTGAGATCAGTGTATCCTTGTCATACTCTATGTTGAATGAAAATGAGAGACTGATGTTTAATTTAGTTTTAAAAGAGAATCATGCCAGAATAGACACTACTGTATTCTTACCTGATGTTAAGTGGTGATAAAGTCCAAACACTAATATATTCGACCAACTTTGGCCAAATATTTTTAACGAAGGTCGCTCGAATATAATGATTTTTTAGAAATATGACTATTTATTATTGCAAAGCATAAAATATTCTTATTACTTTGACAGAAACATAGCTTATTTGGTTGTTATTTTTTGCAATTTTAGAACGCACATTGTGGCACCGAAATGCGTGTTTACATTGGCTGTTTATTAACCAGGTCAATAGCATATTGTTAATCGAAGCATACGACCGATCTCCATGCGAGCATATTATAACGTGTATGGCCCCTCCTGCCCTGACCTAACGTTTAAATTTTCGCTCCAGGTGCAAGAAAGTTCAATTTAGACATATCTAAGGCTTGTACATATTTCCCTTTAATAATAAACAAGGAATCACGCTATGTTTTGTTCATGTCACGCAAATGGTATTTGTCATTCAATACACAAAGACACAAAAGTGGATCCAGGGGGTTGGATCATGGGGGTCATGACCCCTCCTGGGCTGGGTCCATCTGTACCCAGTTCACAATATGTACCCACTGTGACTTGACCTCCCCCTATCGCCAAAGCTGGATCCGCCCCTGAAAGAGAAAACATGGTGTAAGTAATCCCAAAACGTAGTCTTCGTTTATTAATAAGAGGGTTTATGTCAATATTAAACCGTCAGAGTAAAAAGTTGCGCTCGGAACGAAGTATTGAACGCAGCCCAAACCAACAGTAGTGCCGATTCTGGTATGATTCTCTTAACCTAAAATTACATTTGACAGCAGTGTATCCTTGTCATATTGCATACAGAATGAAAAGGAGTGACTGTTGTTAAATTAATTTTAAAGTTTAGAGAATCGTACCAGAATCGGCACCATAATCTCTAGAATCTGTATCTGTGCCTAACTGACACTGACAAATTGAGAATCGTATCTGACAAATTTGCTATTTGTCCTGATTACGCTTTGTGTTTTGTTGAGTTAATCTTGTAGTTTAATATTAATTATTTATTATAATTTGAGCTCCACATTCTTTTTAATAAAATGGCTGATTCAACAGTAGTTGATGTATCGAAAATGAAAGTAATCGATTTACGCAAAGAGCTGAAATCACGGGGCTTGTCTTACGCGGGAGATAAAGCAGAACTTGTGTCGCGCCTTCAAGCAGCAATGTCTCAGGATGACCACGGAGATATTAACTTAGACTCTGACGAAATTGATTCGGACGGAGTTCTCGAGGACGAAGACGATAAAAGTCAGACCGATATTCTTGATGATACTGGTGTGGATACTATAAACGAAGAATTAGCTCTTGCAGATAACCTGCTTACAAAAGATCCGGCTGATGAAAAGCAGCACAAAGTTCTCAAACGAAAAATATCAGAAACTGATAAGAGTTCCAAAGTTGGTGACAATAATAAAGAAGTTGGATCTAGAAAAATCGTATTAAATAGAGCTACTTCTGTTAATTCAGTGACGCCAAGACCAGCCACTGAGACTACAGATGAAAAAAAAACTGATGATACTAAAACTGAAAATGCCAAAGTCAGAATAACTGCTGAGATTGACCCTAAAACCAGGTTAGAAATGAGAGCCAAAAGATTTGGTTTACCAGTCAAAATGAGTGAAGATGAAAGAAAAGAAGCAAGGAAACAGAGGTTTGGTCAAAATAGTTCCATTGATAGAAAAATTACTGGGCCCAGTGGTTCTTTATCAGAGAACCTTGACAAACTTAAACAAAGAGCTGAAAGGTTTGGTCAGTCTGTATCCAAAATTATGACAGATATTGAAAATAAAGAAAAGCTGGAAAGACGCAAGGCTAAGTTTGGAACAGTCCAATAGAATTAAGACTTAATGTTGTAAAATTAGATTTTAAGTTTCACTGTTTACTGACCTCATAATGCATCTGCCCTCTAAGATGTTTTTCCACATGTAAAGAATTCAAGACTTTCCAAAAATAAACAACACTAATTTGCATTGTATGTGAGATTTTTTATTTAGTTTTTAAGAAAGTTATAAAACAGTAAAACATAACCATTTCAACTTTCACAAACAGTCTTTAAATTACATAAACAATTTTTATACTACAATACTTTTATACATGCAAGAACAACATAAAGTTAATCTTCAATACAATCATAAAATGGTAATTCCTCAAATTCATAATATGTTACATTTGTTTCCTTTTGAATCGAGTTTTCAACATCATTGTTATGATAGAAATCTTGTGGTATATTCAAAGCATATTCCATAAATGGTTCTTTATGTAATTTTGCCCATCTAACTGCAATATCTCTATGGAGCGATTTTCTAAATGCCATGCAATGCATATGCTTGAATTTCTCATACTTTATTCTTGAGAATCCAATACATGCTAAAGTATATCTCCAACATTTTATTATTTTAGAATTTGCACCAACATGTTTTGAATCAGGTGTGTTGATAATAAGCAAACCGCCTGGTTTCAATAAATTGTATGCTTTAACACAAGCCTGTATTCTCAATTTTGAGTCTGGAATATATTCCAGCAGAAAGCAAAAAGCTACAACGTCAAAGAAGCACTCTTGTAACTGCTCTACTTCAACTCCGTTAAATATTATCTTTGAACCTAAACTAACTTTTAAGAAATCACACTGGTACACAGTGTCATTAGCTGGATACAAATCTATAGGTAACACTTTAAAATAATCAAACTCTCTGAATGGATTGTAGCAACTTCCTACATCAATTAGCTTTATTGGACTAACAAAATTTTCCTCTACGTCTAAATTTATATAAACTTTAGTGGCTATATTAATATCCTTTTCTCTACATTTCAAATAAGAATTATTTATGAAGTATTCAAAACAAAAATCTGCAGTCCACTTAATTCGTGAAGTTGCATCGCTAGATGACTTCGCACTATTAGCTTCCCAATAAGTTGTAGCTAATTTCTCCATACAGTGTGCATAATTTTCTAAAACATATGTTTTCTTTGAATGCTCTAACCATGCTTTGTCCGCTCCATGTAACAAGGTTGATTTCCTTAATGATGAGTGAACTTCCTTTATGAACAGTGCTAGTTCTTTATGCTCTTCGTTAGCCATATTAGTGTTTTTCCTTCTTTGTATATATAATAGGTACCATAGGTTTTTCCTTAATCTTCTTGTAATGATAGTCAGTCAAATTTTTGTATTACATGGTTTACTTTTTCAAAACTGCTCACATATTAGAATTACCAAACCACTAACGAAACCTAGAGTGACTTCTAAACACTGAGCAAGTAATCTTCCTACAACAGAAGAACAAAAGCTCTTGTTCTGTTCCGAGGTCCAGTGTAAGCAAGATCCACATCCACAATCACACAATCCCTCTAATCCAGATGTTCCACACACAGACTAGTTAGAGATACTACGTATCAGACGACCACAGACTAGTTAGAGATACTACGTATCAGACGACCGACTCTAGTACAAAAAAAAGTTAGCGTCTACACAAGTACTTCTAGTCTTGTATGACATTTACTTACTTTTTAAAATTTTGTCAAAGGGTGGCTAAGGCTCAACTTTATTCATCCATAAAATTTTAGGTACCTAGGTATGCCACTTAATCGGAATTTTTATTAATAATTAAAGGAACTTCAATAAAACACATGAATTATTTATTAAAAGATTTATTTTTTAATTTTTTATTATATTTTTCCAACGCCATTTTTTGCGTCATAGGCAAAGAACGATTACTTAACCGGAAAATGTCAGTGCCCTTTAGTATTTTGTTTATTGTTCTGCACCAATTGATTATAGCAAATTTAATAACTAAATTTACAAAATTATCTATTACCAATAACTTGTGCTCGGTACATACAATAAAATCAAATGAATACTTAAAAATAACTACTTCTTTTATATTCTTGGCTATATTTGTTTCATGTCCTTTTATTTCTAAGTATTCATTTAATTCGTTAATTATTGTACCAAAGCACCTTACTGCACCTTCTGATGGGTAGTGCAACTGGTTTTTAGCTTTTGTATATTCTCTGTGACTTATCCAGTCATGTATATTAGTTAAGTCCCTGGTGGTGAGGGAATTTTTGCGTGTTGTGGAACCACTTTTTAAATTTTGCAATACCTTTCACACTACCCATCCAGCAGTATACGCCCGTGAGTGTACATTTATTTTTTCTCTTCGTGCCTGTTCTAAAATCATATCAATACTGGGATGACCCGGCATGATATCTCTGTCATCAAACAGTGTTTGCAAATTAAGTACTTGATCAGCCGGGTCATCCTCACAAGTAAACGTTTCATTATGAAATTTTAGTATTCTAGTTATTAGTAAGGATTTATATGTGCAGCTGAAGCTGTGGCAGTCTGGGTCATTGTTCCTAAAATTATAGGCTCGCACTTGCCCAAAGAAATTTTCAATAGGGTCAGAATTAAAATATCTCAGACACATTATCTTCATATTTTCTTTTTTAAAAAGCTGCCACAGCCTCTGATAACTTTTTAATGTAGTTATAAAATTTGCCAATGAGGGCACTGACTTTTCTGTTTCTGTATTATCGACATATTTCATATTTTGTAATTTATTTATAGATTCATTCCAGAATACATGATGCGGTGAATTATTTGTGACCGCCGTTCGTAGACACTTCCCTTTAGATTTTTTCCCTAACATGGAGGCTCCGTTTATGCTATCAAATAATTGGTCTAAGAATAAGACGGTCTTTGCGGTGTTGTCCAGGGTTTCACTGACGGGTCTACCATCGGAATAGTGCTCTGAAACAATATTTTAAACATCCTATAAAAATAATGTCTTTTACAAATATTGATAACTTATATTATGTAAGACCAACCAGATATTAGGTAAGACATATGATATGGTCAGCATCAGATGATTGTACTTTTGATGCTGACTGTACTAGCTTTGCAAGATTATTTCTTTGTATTAATGAAGGAGAACCCACCTTCATTTTCTTTATCTTTTCTGGAATAACATGTTCGTCATTCAATTTATGTAATAGCCTGACCTCAGCATGACTACAGTCTGTTTTGTAGACATCAACAATATCACTCCATTTGGAAGTTCTCCCATCCTTTAATATATTTTTAGTTATAAAGTTATTCCGCAACCCCTTAATCAAATGACAGGGGTCATAAATAATATTTAAATTCACCCCTCTGATTTTCACAGTGCCATCTGAAAAATAAATTCTATTAAATACAATTTATTTATATAATGTTGATAAACTTTTTTGCTGACTTATTGCATAAGACACTGTTTTGTAATAGGTGGAGGTGACAATAATTCCACTCAATATCTCGACTTCAGTGAACAATGATGGATAAGCAATTTTTTGAGCCGTGATTCCGACGTAACAAAACGAGTCTCGAAGTGCTTTTGACACGCGAAAAGCTTCGAAAGCTGATCTTTAGGTAATGCCTTCAAATCATCACGGTTTATACACTTTAACCACATAGTAAGTCTTTTCCAGTTGCCAGGAAAATGATATAATAAAGCGTCCTGTCGCGATCTTTTGCACACACAGCACTTGTAGTACATCGTAAAAGACGTAAAATTCAAATAACAATGAAGGCCTAATTGCATTTAAAGTGGAGAGTAATAAGCACAAGTACTTGATTCGATAAACACGTTAAAAAACGCAATCAACAATATGGCCGGCCGGCGTATCATACATGTCATGTGTCATGTCATGCTTGTCAAAGAAGCAATTTCATCAAAATTAAAAAAAAGAAATGTCACTTATTTCCAGTAATGGCGGCCGACTATGATTGCATTCCGTTGTATGAAGATTATCCCCCGTGCAGACGACCGACTCTAGTACAAAAAAAAGTTAGCGTCTACACAAGTACTTCTAGTCTTGTATGACATTTACTTACTTTTTAAAATTTTGTCAAAGGGTGGCTAAGGCTCAACTTTATTCATCCATAAAATTTTAGGTACCTAGGTATCCCACTTAATCGGAATTTTTATTCATAATTAAAGGAACTTCAATAAAACACATGAATTATTTATTAAAAGATTTATTTTTTAATGTTTTATTATATTTTTCCAACGCCATTTTTTGCGTCATAGGCAAAGAACAATTACTTAATCGGAAAATGTCAGTGCCCTTTAGTATTTTGTTTATTGTTCTGCACCAATTGATTATGGCAAATTTAATAACTAAATTTACAAAATTATCTATTACCAATAACTTACAATAAACATATAACATACAATAAAATCAAATTAATACTTAAAAATAACTACTTCTTTTATATTCTTGGCTATATTTGTTTCATGTCCTTTTATTTCTAAGTATTCATTTGATTCGTTAATTATTCTACCAAAGCACCTTACTGCACCTTCTGATGGGTAGTGCAACCGGTTTTTAGCTTTTGTATATTCTGTGACTTATCCAAACATGTATATTAGTTAAGTCCCTGGTGGTGAGGGAATTTTTGCATGTTGTGCGACCACTTTTTAAATTTTGCAATACCTTTCGCACTACCCGTCCAGCAGTATAGGCCCGTGAGTGTACATTTATTTTTTCTCTTCGTGCCTGTTCTAAAATCATATCAATACTGGGATGACCCGGCATGATATCTCTGTCATGAAACAGTGTTTGCAAATTAAGTACTTGATCAGCCGGGTCATCCTCACAATTAAACGTTTCATTATGAAATTTTAGTATTCTAGTTATTAGTAAGGATTTATTTGTGCAGCTGAAGCTGTGGCAGTCTGTGTCATTGTTCCTAAAATTATAGGCTCGCACTTGCCCAAAGAAATTTTCAATAGGGTCAGAATTAAAATATCTTGGACGCATTATCTTCATATTTTCTTTTTTAAAAAGCTGCCACAGCCTCTGATAACTTTTTAATGTAGTTATAAAATTTGCCAATGAGGGCACTGACTTTTCTGTTCCTGTATTATCGACATATTTCATTTTTGTAATTTATTTATAGATTCATTCCAGAATACATGATGCAGTGAATTATTTGTGACCGCCGTTCGTTGACACTTCCCTTTAGATTTTTTCCCTAACATGGAGGCTCCGTTTATGCTATCAAATAATTGGTCTAAGAATAAGACGGTCTTTGCGGTGTTGTCCAGGGTTTCACTGACGGGTCTACCATCGGCATAGAGCGCTGAAACAATATTTTAAACATCCTATAAAAATAATATCTTTTTACAAATATTTATAACTTATACTAAAACGCCGCCCCCAGCTTCGTACGAATGCAATGTATACTATAATATATATGTAAATGTTCCTCTTCGATCATTCTTCTTTATTGCTAAAAACTGCATGGAATCCGATGCCTAGATTAAAAGTTTTAGGGGTACATATAGAAAGAGCAATTTTGTACTATACTATCTATAGATTGTTTTATGAGTCCTGTTGTATCTATAGATTGTTTTACGAGTCCTGTTGTACCATGTCATATTATGACCATTACTTTGTCTGTTAGTGAAATAACATTAAATTTATTTTATTTCTATCTAAGATGAGCATGACACACCTTTTACTTCAGTACAACAGAACTAAATGTTTATTCAGTATTATAAAATATACTTACCAAATTTTGCAGTGTACGATAATGCAGCAGACATGGTACTGCTTAATAATTTTACACAATTCTTTACCTATAACAAAATACAAATTTCAATAAAATGTTGACAAGACAAAATAAGTAAGACCACCAACCAGATATTATGTAAGACATATGATATGGTCAGCATCAGATGATTGTACTTTTGATGCTGACTGTACTAGCTTTGCAAGATTATTTCTTTGTAGTAATGAAGGAGAACCCACCTTCATTTTCTTTATCTTTTCTGGAATAACATGTTCGTCATTCAATTTATGTAATAGCCTGACTGACCTCAGCATGACTACAGTCTGTTTTGTAGACATCAACAATATCACTCCATTTGGAAATTCTCCCATCCATTAATATATTTTTAGTTATAAAGTTATTCCGCAACCCCTTAATCAAATGACAGGGGTCATAAATAATATTTAAATTCACCCCTCTGATTTTCACAGTGCCATCTGAAAAATAAATTTTATTAAATACAATTTATATATATAATGTTGATA